TTGTTGTCATCGCCCCCAAAATTGTCGCTTTAGACCTTTCTTTACACTTAAATTCTCCCGCCAAAAAAAATTATTGGCACCCTCACCTGGTTAATTAATTAGATTAAGTTTTCCCGCCAAAAAACTTAGTATATAGACCACCCTAACCTTGAACTTGTGCCCCCCTCCCCACTCTTCCTGCCCACCTTCCACAACTCAGTATGTTAGTTACACTGTTTTCTGGACTTCTTCGAACATGTAGTCACCACACTGCTACACAAACACTTTGTTGATCGAGTGCAGTTTTTCCACCACGTAGACTTTAGAATAATCTCTCGCTCTCCTGGTCAGTCAATGCACTAAGTGTACTCCCCGGGGGATGTCTTTTCGGAGACATTGATGCTTCGACACATCAGTATACCAGTGCAATTGACCCACCAGGAGAGCGAGAGATATTCTAAAGTCTAAGTGGTGGAAAAACTGCACTCGATCAACAAAGTGTTTGTGTAGCAGTGTGGTGACTACATGTTCGAAGAAGTCCAGAGAACAGTGTAACTAACATACTGAGTTGGGGAGGGGGGCACAAGTTCAAGGTTAGAGTGGTCTATATACTAAGTTTTTTGGCGGGAAAACTTAATCCAATTAATTAACCAGGTGAGGGTGCCAATTTTTTTTGGCGGGAGAATTTAAGTGTAAAAAGAAAGGTCTAAAGCGACAATTTGGCATTCATACGATACGAAGAGGATGACTAAGGAATTCATGCGGCTGGCTAAGGTTCAAATTTTTTCTGCGGAAGAATTTAAGTGTAAAGGTCCAAAGTGACAATTTTGGGGGCAATTTGGCATTCATACAATATGAAGAGGATAACAACGTGGAATTCATGCAGCTGGCTTAGATGCGAAGTTTTTCGGCAGAAGAATTTTAAGTGTAAAGGTCTGAAGCAACAATTTAGGGACAATTTGGCATTCAACCATACAATATGAAGAATTTTTCAGTGTTGCTTAACATGAAATTGAAGTCGCCGGCTACAATATATGTTAAATGAAAAAAGAGAAATGTGAGTGCAAGTGTGTGCATGTGGAATGTTGTCTCGTGTTAATAAAGAAACCATACTCACTCCTGCCTATCTTCCCCCTGCTGCAGTCCAGTCTCCGGGTCCGCATCTTGAAAACAAAGAAACAAAAATCACTGTATTGATAACAGCAATTGGCCTTACTAATGCAAGATATTATGTCACACAACATGCAAGTTTATGACAGTAGCACAGTGCAGAAAGTGTGATGTGCTGTATCTCAAATGACTAAAAGTGCAATGTGGGACCAAGGCAGTATACAATGTAACCTCTTTTGTCAGACTAATTGTTTGAAGATGTGAAAAGGAGTCTAGATACAAAATGTATTGTACTTGTAGCATGTAACACCTCAGAGTTCTTAATAATAATAACATATGTGATGAAGGTAAAGATGAACTCTTGTATGCGACCTTTTACTTTGCCTCTTCCTAGAAATGTTGACAAGTGCTCAAGAAGTCTAATATACTAGTCATTTATTCAAGTCAAAGGCAATACAAAATTAATGTGAAAGATGTTTTGCTACATGTGTGTTATTTCTATAAAGTCATGAGTGTAAGACATAAGGGAAGAGTGCTAGAGTCAAACAGATATTCTAAAGCATTGTCTCACCTGTGGATGTTGTTGTCATCTTGCTCTTGTGTCTCTAAATCACCCCATCAGGTCCAATTTCTCTTGTCAGGTTCAGACAAGAGTCTTCACTACTGCATCAGTCAGCAGCCACCTAACTATACAGACATTAGAAGTTATACACTTGTCTCAAATAAAGTAAATACAGTGTAGTAGGTTGAATGCAGAATTCAGATTTTTCTCACCTGAGAGTCATCTTTGGTCTTCAAATCACCTGGTCTGGTCCAATGTTCTCTTGTCAGGTTTACGAAGAATTCACCACTACTGCATCAGTCAGCAGCCACCTAACTATACAGAAATTAGAAGTTACACACTTGCCTCAAATAACATCAAATAGCTGTAGTTAAAATGCAGAATTGGGATTTTTCTTACCCGATATTCCTCTTCGGCCTTCAAATTAGCTGGCCTGGTCCAATCTGTCTTGTCAGGTTTAGACAGGAGTCTTCACTCCTGTGTAAGTCGGCAGCCACCTAACTATGCAGACGTTAAAATTTACACACTTGTTTCAAATAAAACCAAGTAAATGGTAAGTAAAATGCAGAATTGGAATTTTTCTTACCTGATATTCCTCTTGAGTCATCAAATTATCTGGTCTGGTTCAGACAGAAGTCCTCACTACTGCATCAGTCATCACTTAACTAGTATACAGAAATTATAGAAGTTAGATACTTGTCTCAAATAATAAAAACTAGCAATTCGCGCACACACCTTAAATATCTTTACTTTAAAACAAACACATATTTCGAACCTCCACAAAAACTCTACATAATGAACATAAAAATGGGGATAGAAACAACAATAAAATAAATCAACCCCCTTCAACTGAAACTTTATGTGGAATACGAAAAAACTTGGTGCAAAATGTTTTGAAAACAGGAATTGCTACCGTCAAGCATAGTTAACTGTAGTGTTTGCGTCAGAAATACTCTAAAAAGGAAACGAACAAGCTTTTAAATTATACATCATACGGTGCAGATGATAATGAAGAGCGAAAGTATGATCAACTGGACATAACTAGTTTTCAAACGTTTTGTATCGTATTCATTTCGGCGCCTTGAAACTTAGAGGACCCCATCTTGTTTACGCAAATTTTTGGCGGGAAAAATAACTAATTATGTAACGTTACACATTCCAACAGGTGTTTTGAACCACGTGGAGATAAAGAGAGAAAATGGTTTGGTCAAAGCAGAATTTCTTTCGACAAATATAACCTCAAAACGCTGAACAACTGACTTAAAAGACATGCACATACATTTAACACTCTACAAGCGCACCACACATTGAAAATGTTGAAAACGCGGCAACTTGATGGACTTTTCTAAGCCTGTGTAAAATCAGGAACTGCCTAATACAGAAATAGTTCATTTCTTACGGAATATGTTGACATGTTCGTACTAGTTGCTAAGGAATAATGTCAGCCAAACAATGTACTGGTTTACCTGCAACAAGAAGTGAAGTCGTCTCCATACCACGCTAACGTTACTCTTCCCAACTGTATCGCCATTTTTGTCTTCTCCAAAATTCGCCAGGTCAGGAAATCCGCATTCTCTCCTCAAAACATCACCAGAAAGGCACAAATCCACAGCACAAACTCCCATACATTCTGCCGCACACTTAGTAAGACATTGTACCGACAAAAACGTCTAAAAGTACCCAGAAAGTTGTGAAAAAGAGTATTCCCGTCGCGTACGAAATCGCCATTTTGACGGACCATACCAAACTTGTTTTTACACAGGTGTGCAGAACAGCCGTGCATATATAATTAATGTAAAGTTGATAATCTAATTATGACGACCAATGACGGCCCGTTTCGGTGCCAGGCACTTATATGTATTGAAGAATGACGATTAGATTATCTAATTACGAAGGATACTGACGTTGAACTTGATGTCAATCTCGGTTTAAAAAAATGGGTAAAAATGCAGCTACATATATGGCACCTTTAAATTAGTATTTCTATCATCACAAATAAACGTTTTCAAGTATAACTATAAGGTATCAAGGTACATCTAGTATGAAACATAACACTCTTGCCCAATTTTCGCGGTTTATTCCGTGGTAGAATAAACACCTTCCACACACACGCAAACCTGTCCTTGGTGCTGAACACCTTCCACACACACACAAACCTGTCCTTGGTGCTGAACACCTTCCCCACACAGGCAAACCTGCCCTGGGTGCTGAACACTATAGCTATCCACACACAGGTAATCCTGTCCTTGGTGCTGAACACCTTCCCCACAGGTAAACCTGTCCTTGGTGCTGAACGCCATCCACCCACAAGCAAACCTGTCCTTGGTGCTGAACACCTTCCACACACAGGTAAACCTGTCCTTGGTGCTGAACACCATCCACCCACAAGCAAACCTGTCCTTGGTGCTGAACACCTTCCACACATGTTCACAAGCAAACCTGTCCTTGGTGCTGAACACCTTCCACACATAGGCAAACCTGTCCTGGCGTCTTGTCATGGTACTGCAGCAGAACTTCAGGTTTTTATATCTCATGATCCAGGCATGCTAGGGTCACAAAATTTACATGGTATATAGCTCTTGTGTTGGAGATGAAGTGACATGAGTTTGAGCCCCCTAGCGGCTTGCTCTGGAACTGCAGGGGCGTTTGTTGAAAAATGTTTAAAGGAGGATAACTCAAGAACCGATTGATGGATCGTCGTGATTTTTGGTATCTAGGTAGCTTGACTAATGATATTACAATTATGCAAATATGAATGTAATTTCCATAATTAATGAGGAAATTCTATAAATCAGCTGCATTCCATGATAGGGCTATATGACATATGTCAAGAACGAGAGTAACACAGGCAGATATCTATCATGCAAATCGATTAGAAAATGTTATAATTCCATAGTGTTAACTGCCTGGAATTTCATACTTGGGGTAATTGAAAGTTAAGTGAATGTGAACATATTTAAACATAACTTATTCAAATAAGGGCCTCATTTGCATAATAGATGAGGAAATGCTATAATGGCATTCTTTGTTAATACAAGACTGTATTTTGGTGTATAATATGATCAACAGATATAATTCGTGCAATTATTCTATTTGCATAATCAGGGGGATTAATGTATACTTTCTAAGTCATAAGAGTCTTTTGGCGATCGTGGAACTCTAATTTTTTTTTTCGCCTGTCCATTCTTTTTCTAGAAAAATCCGTTAACCAAGAAATTAAATTGGTGTGGCCTTAGATGTTAACTGCAATGTTTGCCATATCAGCCATGTACGTTTCTGACGATGCACACTAGCAACTTATGCTGACTATAAATAAAACACAGCAAAGACACAACACACATTTTTTTTCAGTACCATGTGGATACAAAGGTTTTATTTTTCTTCTTATAGTATGGTAGAATGACATTATCATACACATCTTGCTAGACGAACTAAAACTGAGCTGCAAAATATATGTAGAAAAAATGTAACATGAAAAATACACTGGGCTAGATGTTGTGTTGTTATTTAATAATAAACAAGAAGAGTCAAAAAACGAATCTTGCACTGAGTATATTGATGAGATGAATTCACAACTTCGGTACATGGTGCCTACGTACATACAAACTCGGAAATATTTACAAAAGTCGGAGGGATAGAGACTTAGGACACATCAAATACAGGGGTATAATAAAGCCCTTGAGTCTGACTTTTTAACAACATTATGCAGTGTTGTGGTCCAAACACGACAGATACAAGCCAGAAGATCGCTACATGCAATCTTCCCAACCTAGGAAAATGTCACCAGTGCAAAAGTCAACTCAACTGCAGCACAATATGGGTAAACATCACATATTGTACAAAACAATATTAGGGCCATGTGAATTCTGTTCGTACTACCATTCAAACAGTAGCGCTAACAGAAGTGGGAATTAACTGTTTGTAGACTTGCTCGCTTCTTTTTTTATTTACAATCCTTGTTTTCACACATTGCTAGGACACGTCTCTATTCTACACTAATCACAATCATACATACAGGACAAAGGGACAGTTTCCTTCCAGTTTCTTAAAAAAAAGATTTCTGTTTCCATCCCATAATACCTTCTTTGTACTTCACTGAGTCAAAACTATTGCGAACATTTCACCGATTATCTACTTGAACCAGAATCAAAATTTGTAAGGAAACATGATCTTATACTTCTTCTAGCATCAAGATGTTCTAAGAAATTTTCTTTTCATTTTTCAGAACTCCTGAAACAGATCCATATTGTATCAGTTTAAAATGCGCATTGATACCTTTTTCTTTTAATTAAAACTTCTGAATAAATTACTGCTTCAAGAAGTAGATAAAATCAGCTTTAGTAAAATGTTACGCAACCTGCAACTGGACCAGCCAATCACTCCTTTTCCCAAATTCTCTTTTAAAAAAATCTCTTTGCAATCTTATCTTTCCTTGAACCTTTCTTCTTATAACTGTGTTCACCTGGATAAATTGTTGAATTTGTTCAAATTCATTCAGGTGACCACAGGTATAAGCTATGAAAAACAGTCACACCAAAAGATATGCATACATTTGAATGTATGAAACATAACATTGCAAAGGATTTATCATAATTTCTCTGTACTTTGGGTGGGGATAAAAACGGAAAGCTTTGGGGGTAAAAATTGTCCCTCTGGCCGGCATGTCCGCTAGAATAATTAAGTCATTATCCATCATCTTCACCTGTCTGTTTTCCATTGCAGGATTTTCATTTCCAAAGTCTACACATCTTACAGCTTTTCTCCTTATGGTATTGGTGACTCTGAATAATAATAATAATAATATTTAGACTGAAATTAAAGTTACTATAGCCTCCAAAACTATACAATACTGGCTGCCTGCTGGTATATGAGGTGTTTACATTGTACAACTTATGTGAAGATATGTTAACAGATATGCTCGACTCTTTTGAAAATCCTCTAAAGTTGTCTAAGTATCAAGATAACTTATTGGTGCCACATGATAGTTGACAACTAAATATATTTACATGTTTATTTCTATAGACAAGATATGGGTGGCTGGGGTGGCCACAGAGTTGGATAGGGACATGCTTCCCTTGGTTTTGATGCCAAATTTGACTGGTTTTCTGTGTAGCAAGCACAGAATTATATTTACGCCACTCTCACAAAAACATGGTACTAGTATTCAAACCACCCTGAGCTAATTTACAGTGTTCCCAAACAAAAATAAAAACAACATAAGCCAGAGCACAAAATAGGACAACCCTCTTTTCCAACTGCCAGGATGACAATTGTCAAATAGGATCACTACTTTACACATAGGATTGGTCCGTATGTCGACAACTTGTTTTGCATGAGTTCACTGTACAAAATTGCAGGGCACACGTTACGGATACTTTTCGTTTTTCTTTTTTTACAGCAGTGGCATGAAGGTAGGTCGTGATGACCAAATGTGACATGATCAGCGCATGCACCTTATTGGTCCATTGTGATTACTAATTAACACCCTTGCCACGTCAAAGCTGCGCGAGCGAATTCACAGCGTATCAGGCCGTTCTCGCAGTGTAATTACGTCTTCACCATTGCAGTTGGCATGGCAGTGCATATTCTACAGTGAAGGCATAGTGTTGAGGTATCGTACATGGAGAAAGGAGGTCCCTTATACACTAATCACGGATGACAAGAAGGCAGGATACGGAGAAGTGTACAACGTACGTGCACAAAGCAAGGGACACAGATATACACCAGCAACAGTACACTGAGACACATGTGGACACTTCTGCAGGACTTCTGAACACATTCAGGACTCCAACATACAAGATCATTCCTGACCTAGCTGCAGTTTTTAAATCTTTATCTCCTGCATGTGTAAATTGTGAAGGAAGTGTGTACTGAGAAGGATAACAATGGTGAGGGGATCCATTTGAACATTCGTATTCTGTCCTAAATTTGTCATCTTGAAAGAGTCACACTTTTTTTTCAAGTGGAACCTCTCACCATTGCTTTGTATACAATCCTATGGACTCTTTTTAATCATCATATCTTGTCTCATTCTTCTAGGCTTAATTATTCTTATATATATCACATCAGGGTCACTTCTAGTACATCCTTCTGTAGACGACGGTCTGCCAGTTGCATCTCTTCATTATTATTCAGTCTGTACAGTTGGGGAGGACGATCATAAGGACCGCAGACACAACAGCAAGGCCGCCAGGGGGAGGAGAAGGAGGCCGACGACGGGCCGTACCGCCGCGGCGTGGGACTGCGACGCTCTGCTGTTGATCGTGTCCGTGCTCGGCGGTGTCGTGCTGAACCAGATGTCTGTGTCGCCGTCTCCGCTGCCGCTACCAGATCCGCTGCTCGTCCAATCAGCTGCGGGGAGAAGAGAACATAATTTAAAATGGGAAAATCTGCCAACTCCATACCTTGTCAAACTGTTGTATACTAATTATCATATAACAGGAAGACATCAACCAATCAGAATGCTCCATTTCCCATTGGTTATCAGGCCGTAACCTTAAAAGTGGTCAGTTATTAGAATAACCAACCACTTTTTGGACCATACTATTACCGGTACAGATGCGTACAGATGCCTCTTCTTCATGTTCCACATTGCCCGTTATAGATCATTTAGATTTTGTAATTTTAAGTGTACAATGGGTCTACAGACCATTGAATTGTCAGAATGACATAATTCAGACTGAGAATATTAATATTGTCTGCGAGTTGTTTGAATAAAGATTGAGTTAACCAACTACAGTCTTCAGATTGCACGAACCAACATGTAAACATGTGGCTTTGGTGAGGCACCTGGAAATCTGTTTCCCCCCTCCACACCCACAAATAGCTGTACTTTAAGTCCAAAGCTCAGGATTATAGAATGTGGGTAGACTGCAAGGATCAAATGTTTGTTGATGAACGAGTGAGATGTGGGTCACTGTCAGACTAACTGGCATATCTGTCTGAAAGATAACAACTGGTGCTCTAAAACTGTAGTACCTAAGGCCACAGCAAGTACATTTTATGGATGACATCCTCCGCAGATTCAAAATGTAATGCGAGCCGGCGAAAAAAAAAACCAAGGTGGGTCGAAACAAGGTTCCTGCAATCTAAAATTTTGACTCAATCATTGTACAAATGGTTTTGATTCAGTAGGAACATCACATATACACTGCCAGCATCACACATCACTGCATCAAAGTAAGAAACAAAACATTAAATCAGAGCCTTTTCTTGTCTCCTCTCTTCATAGTTATCTTTCATCCACCTTCCGACATGGCAACAGACATCTTTGCCCATTTTCGGCATGTTGACCACTGTCAGAAGGCAACAAAATTTCTTGTTTTTTTTCTTCCAAAATCAGGCGAAAGTTAATGTGCGCCCTGATGTCATCCATAAAAATTACTTGCTGTGGCCTAACATACGCTCAGCATTCAGATCAGTCCCAAGATGACTGTCTTAAGCACTGTACAAAGACAGACATATTCCCAGTTGTTACACACCAAGTTGACTTTAATTCTGATCGGTTTCTTTGTGTTTATCCATAAGATCCTTTTCCTGTTTATTCTGCAACAACTGTTTATGTTCTGCAGCTTGCAATTGGCCTTGACTACTGTGGATTCAACACTAAAATGTTATGATAGCTTATAAGTATGCATTCCTGTAATTATCTATAAAAACAACCAGTGCTTATTGTGTAAATGTTCAGTTCCTTCTGCTGTTTATAAGTGGGGTTTAATTACTTGCCTATCCTTGACACTTTTATCAACTCAACTTTAATTGTAGTAACAAGTTAGCAACCCAATACGGTATCAGGAATATTAAATTTTGCGGAGGCACTATGAAGACATAATCATTTTTGAAAGCCCCCGTCTGTTTCTGAATTTTTTTCCTCCAGAACCCACCTTTTTTCCATCATATTCTGCCCTAAGAACTTCTTTTAAAAAAAGAAACAACAGACTGAAGTCACAATCCCTTGGATTGGCAGGATTTTTTGTGTGCATCACCAATGAGTGAAAACTCACAGCTGTAGTCTACTGTTTCTGGACCAAATGGTCGGGGGTTCAAATCTCAGCCTAGCCATCAGTGTCTTTTGATACGTTAAATGAGACATTCAGGCCTCTGCTCTTTGTTTAAACACTTTCACATTTTCAGCCAACTTGGCAATAAAAGTTGGCCTTTGCTACATCATCATCAACACCCATTAGAGTGGGTGTGAGCATTTGTACGGCCGGTACATGTATAACCCGCCCTTCGGTTTAGTATAACCAGCTTTGCAGGCACGCGGCACGGCGGCAGCTGGCTACATTACACCGAACGACTTGTTACACCTAACTCTTTTGAACCTCTTGACTCTAAACATTGTTAACAGCTATCCAATGATAGCTGTACTTGGTGACAGTGAGTTCCACTCTGCGATAGTTCTAGGTAAGAATGAATTCTTGAACACCTCAATCCTTGGTTGATAACTCTGGTACTTGAAGGCATGGCTATTTCTTATTCTTTTCTGGGCTAGCTGGTATTAGGTACTTAGTAGTTGGTACGGCCACCGCTATAATCATTTTGTGCATCACGCATAGGCTCTGCAATACTTTTTCCTACATCATCATCACCCATCAGCCCATAAGGTGAAAGTAAGCCCTTGCACTACTTGTGCTCCCCTACATGTCAGCCTCTAGTATAGGAGTACTCACAGCTGTCTATCCAGTCCACGTCCAGCCCGTTGTAGGCGTTCTTGAGTTTACTGGTGATGAGTTTGAGCTGCGTGACCTGCTGGCGGACCAGCGCATCCGGCCGGCTCACGTCCACCTCCACGTCCGGGTTGTTGATCTGGTTGGCCAGACCGTCGCCCATCACTTCCGGCAGGTATCTGCGAAACACGACAAATTCCTGGTTAGTAATGTGTAACATCTTGTGGCAGTTTCGTGTGGCCAGTACTTTAAAGAGTGGAGGGCCTTTTGCAAGGCGTAATCAGGTCTTTTTATGTTTACCTTCGCAGGAGGAAAAACATCATTTTGGCTCAGTTTCTTCTTCTTCTCCAAACACATAAGGTCAATGACCTGGACCAAACGGCTGTCACCATGGTAACTGTGCTGTAGCAGACACCCTGTGGTGTTGGGTTACATAATGTTGCAAGTTGCAGTTGGAGGGGCTACTATATAACTAACTGAATGTATTTGAGTAGTAAATAGAGCAGTCCAAAAATTGTTAGGGGGAGACCATGTGAAGGTCAACTTTCTGCATTTACTTTGCAAATGTTAATTTCTAGTTAGTCTTCTTAATCCGTAGGCAGCTGCCCAAAATCATAGTAATTCATAGTCAATACATTAGCCATAACATGTAAATGTTTGTAATCAGCTCTGAGAAATTAACGTAATCTGTAATCAGCTGCAAAAATGTTGTTAATTCATAATCACCACAAAATTTAAAACCCAAAAGTCTTCCTTTTGAAAACATTAAAATGCAATGCCATAGACTAAGCTCTCTCCTCTTCGCGGCAATGGAATATCCCAACTTTACTAAAGAAATAAACATGCCATAGTGAACAACTGAAATCCTGTGTTATAGTGTTATAGTACAAAGGTATAGATTTTAATCCCCAAAGTGAACCTTTTTATAAGAGTGCTTTCCACGATTACAAAACTCAAAGGCTTTTGTGAAAACTTTGGCCACCAGTGGGAAGACTACTAACATCTTTCTTGCATGTTGTCTCAGGTAGTTTGTCAGTGTGTTCCCTTCTGAATCATGAGGGCCCTCCAGTGTAACAGTAACTCAAGTATGCCGGCTCAACCATTCATCAGTTTCTCTAGTAGTTACTCCCCACTGCACCAACAAGTTTACAATCCATCATGTATACCTTACCTGACAGGGCATGGTTCTAATATATTACCTCAATATTCTGTCCCTTCTTATGAATTATAGCTGTTTCCTGATGCAGAGTTTCAGTACATTGATCAGTTGGAAAACAAGAATTTTTTTGTGGACAGAAGTTTGTTGTGTAGGGGGCAGACAGAGAAAGCATGTTCTTAAATTACCTTAGCGGTAATGCCCCTGAACAACCTTTCATGTGCACCGTGTGACAAATTAGCAGGTCTAACCTTAACAATAGCTTTCTATGTAGCACCACTTGACTGTGAAAGATGGTGCTCTGAAGTGACGGCTGATTCAATAGAGGGCAGAGGCTGAAATCCAGGGGACTTTACCGGGGCCTTCGGGCACAATCTGGACAGGTTTACCTACCGGCATTCTGTTACCGTAATGGGGTGAACCGGGAGTCAAAGGGAACTGCGAAAAGTGCTCGCCGGAAAGTGGTAAACAAAGGAACCACACAGCAGACAGGGTAACAACACACTGTCAACGTCGTAACTTTTGAGAAAAAAAGGGGACCCAAGGACATATCCCTCCAAAGCACCCACATTGCTTAGAGGCTCATCCTGACTTTTCCTTCCCTAAATTCACTCATAAAAACATGATTTTCACCTGTAATCACAAACTCATCTACGTTCAACGCATCATTGTCATTTTACTTGCCCAGAGGTCGAGTTGCAGAAAAGCTTTACTGCCTTGTTGGCCAACTAATGAGGTACAAGTTAATCTCCCCTCAATCTATAGACTTATCGACCGAGATTAGACGCCCCAACTTCAAAGCTAACTCGGGCAGCCCAAGGCCTCGTCCCCTTCAGAGGAGCAGCTATGGCGGGTAATTACCTCGTGATCACGTTCTGAGAGTTAATCTGTGGACAGGGTGCTGCAGACTGCCTTTGAGGGACGGCATATCACAGATATCTCATTACTGAACGGGGGGGGGGTCCTCAGGTTGTCTCACAAACTGGCTAACGACTCTTCTTATCAACACCAACATCGCTGAAGCTTACTGAAGTGTCTGGGACACTGTATAGCTCGAGGGTTCGCAAAAAGTAGAGCCAAATAGTTTTTGGTTCGGGGCCAAAACTGACTGTCACAAATATCACAAACTATAAAATTTAGAGAAGTATAACCTTTACCTGGACAACATTGCGTATCGTCTGTACAGGAGTCACATACTTGTAATGTGTAGTTTAAAAGGAAGCTGCTAGGGGCCTAAACCTTGAAAGATTCTTCCTTAGACCAAGGTCTAAAAGTTTAAAAAATCTCTTTAATATGGCAAAATAGTAACTTTAAAAAATGCGTGTTGTCTGACCTTCCTTTGAACTGTCCGTTCCAGCAGTTCTTGTCATTTCCCGCGGGCGCCGCGATCTTCTCGTCGTTACAGATGGAGTACGGCAGCTGCGACCAGATCTCCCGGAACAGCTCGATCTTGTCCCTGATGTCGCGGACAAGTCGGTCCAGGCTGGTGCCGGCCGCGGTTGTCGGCCTCTCATCATCCGAGTTGGGCGCCCGGAAGCGGCTGCTGAGCTGGGTGAAGGAGGACCCACCTCGGAGGCCGTCTCGTACGGGCTGGCCCGCTTCTCGCTTCATCTTCCCGTATTTGGGCTCGCCACAGCCACTGAACACCTGGAATGACAACAACAACAACAATCAGCATTCAATCATGTTCCAATAAAGGGCTAATGCCCTGCCCCAAGGTGTATATGGTGAGAAAATCCCTGGTCAGGTGCAATAACCACACAATAAACCACCAAGTGAGCGTAGCGAACAAGGTGGGTTATTCTAATAACCGACCACTTTTGAGGTTACGGCCTGATAACTTATTAGCCTTCTGATCGGTTGACATCTTCTGGCTATATGATAATTGGCAATAATTGATATTTATCTTATCAGTACTTGTCTTGGCTAGACCACACTATCTTCATTTTCTGGATGACATCACCTGAAGACCTGTGGAAACAATGGGGAGGGGGACAGCTTACAACAACAGTGTATACTGGGGTGTCACCATTGTGTGGCCTTGGATGGAAATCTGGGTTTCATCTTCTACATGCAAGAGAGAGGATAACGGACAGCAACAGGAAGTCTAACCATTAATTACATCACTGAAGGGTATCATTAACAGATAGTGCTTTTAAAATATTTGGTCTACGAAGATGTTAGGCTTAGAGGACAGCTAACACTAGCTGTATCTGTGTCACATAACAGTTTCTGTTCTTGTTCTTGGAGTCAAATGTGTATGTGACTGACACAAGCCACGTAAGACACTGGCTGGTTGAGTGAACAGCAACATGAAGGTATACCTACTACTACTTTCTAAAGGAAGTACAATTGTATGCCTCTAATTGTTAAGAAATGGGAATTGTTCCAAAGCTTTAATGTTTGTCCCTTGACAAAATAGGGTTGAAAACACTGCCTGAGACCCTGAGCAGCTGAAATCACAGCCCCATCTCCACCAGAGCTCTGTGGATACTGTTCCACATCATTTGACCAGCCAGGCAGAGTGGCCTGAGGCCTTCTGGTCCTAAGCCTAGATGACAGACGTGGGGTGTGATAAAACTAGATCCACGGGCTACAACATGTGTCCGATTCCTGGATCTGTAGTGTAAAGCACATGGCAGCTATACAGGGCTATGTAGACTTGTCTCACCAACTGGTTTGTACTGCGTAAAACCAGGCCCAAACCGGGCCTGACTTCCAGATGCTTGTAAGGATGTGGGTGAGGTTATCATGGGTAGGCTCTGTGGTCGCTTTGATCTCACCACTTCTTTACAGTCTGCACTTTATGTCAATTATCCGCCAATCCGGGATGGCGGTCTTCCAAACAATTCAAACAGCATGTCGGTTGACCAGTAAAAACGGTTGGTTCTAGAAACAGAGGTTGTAGGGTGCGGGACTCCATAGCCACATGTACGTAATCAAGCCAAGGATAATCCTTATCATCAGGCATTTCCTGGCATTCCGCACAGTTATTAAGACAAACAGTTATGCTGGGTACTGAGAGGGCAGCCAGAGATGATTTAAGGTAAACTGGTTCTAATCAAAGCGCTGAGAAACACCAGTCTAGTCAAATCAAGTCGGGTGGTTGAGCACAAAAATACAGGGTCTGGGATATGTGTAGGTTGTCTGGCAGGGGATAGCACTTACTGAATCCATTTACATGGCAGTGGGAGTGCTACCATACCGCCCGCTTGTGGAAATACACCACTCCTAAAGATACACAAACCTCTACTTCTGTGCTGTCTCATCACTTATGTAGCATCAACATTCAATAAACAGGAATTGGCTGTAACCTTCCACACACACTATGCTTACACTAAGCATGTAAGCTTTTACTGGTTACCTCAAATGTTAACGCAGTGTGATATTCTCTCTGAGATTCAAAATGGCTTCTCTTTTATCCTTCTATGACGTGGTTCTTGTGTGTTATGGAAATGTCAATTGCCTGACAGCAACGCTAAAAAGGAAACACCGAACCCCCCAGGTAAACCTTCTATGACTGACACGTAAAGCTCGCAACAAGAAAGGGTTCCTCCGGGCAGAAATGCAAGGAGAATCCAGGCAATCCTTCTGGTGAGATATTCCAGTAGCTATTCTAACCTCCGAGGAGCCGGCAGTCAAATGGTTGGATGGCACACAAGGCCAGACATAAACCTACCGTGCCTTGAGCCATTTTCACCTCCAAGATTATGATACCCGGCTTCGCAAAGCCGTTTCTATCAGTCACTGTCATAAAGACACCCATAAGAAGTCAACTCCCTGGAATAGACAATTATAAGGCATCTATATTTAGGGCCACAGATGTGATGCCACCAGTGCTTCAGGTGAGAGCAGTAATGAAGGTACAAAGGTGCAGCCTACGCGGGATTACTTGCAAATTAAATCTTAATTTGGGTTGGACCTGGGGGCATGGATAGGTAGATTTACACCAGGGGACTGTCCAGAAATCTTTGGGGTGGGGTGGGGCTGTATCTTGTCAAAAGCGGGCATTGTCTGACTAGGAAATGCCTGCTGTGTTGACAAAACAAGGATGTACTGCCAACAATAATGTTCCTCTGACATTAAAATGTCCTAGGGGAAAACAGAGTAACACATGCAAACTAAAACATTAAAACATATAAATTACCTTACAAATATTCCATACTGAAGAATGTTAATGCTTTGGATTTCCAAGTGTGAACTATGCGTTTTAGGGCTCACTTTTTGTTTTGGTACTAGCCACAATACAAGATATACGCGAAATGATAGCCACTACCCTATTTTAGCAACAACAATGTGCCACTGTTTCATTTTTGTCTATCTTTGCTTTTTTTGACCGTTTGGTACACCTCAGTCCTACCATAGCCCTAGCAGGTGACAGGTGTGTTTTCCAACATTGTCAGGTGGTCTTTCTGCAAACATTGTTTTCATCACATAGCCATTTGTCTTTTCAGTCAAGCCGACACTAACTCAGCGTTGAAAACCAGACTACACCGAAAAATCTCTAATGTAGATATTCTCACACCCAAAATATTTCACCGAAATACTTCTTAGATCATGATCAATGTGAGATTTTTGAAATCTCTGAAGTGAGAAAATTAGATAAAAAGAGCTGTTGTCCCCTGTGAAATAATGGTTCCTTCCAACGCCTGCTGACACTAAAAGCCTGAAATCCTACCCGCAATCTCATACCCTTCACAGGAAATTTCAAACACTGTAAATTGTATCGGAAATGCGGTATTAGCTTCCAACTGCGTAGACGGCTGTAAATTATCGCCCTGTTATGTGTTGTGGAATAAACAGCATGACCTAGATAATAACCGATAAGTATCATTTTTAGCCGTATTCTCGCAGCGATTTGTAAAATCCACCATGCATAATCAGGATGAAATCTGTGTTACTGTTAGTAAGGTCCAACCTTCAAGCTTTGCCGAGAGGAATTTTGTAAATAAATAATGATAAGTGATAAATATTAGGGCGTAACAAGCTTTTAGGACACGCAACATTATTAGGGGGATGTTGAGAGATTATTGCGTTACAAATGAAAATTTGTCGGGACTGATCGAATCACGGGGCTATCACACGGGACGGTAATCTCGTTTGTATCAGCAGAGTCTGTTAACAAGGAAAACTATCTGCTATGTCGTTGTGCTACAATTGTTAATTCCACTATCAGAACTGACTTTATGTAACTTGATTATCACTATTTTTCAACAAACTGAAGCTGACAATCTGAGACAAATTGGTGCAGATCAAATGAAATAATATTGTTAAAAATCAAAATATAATCCCTCTGAAGATTTCCACACCTTATTATATCTTTTATTCAACATTCGTAGACAAATTTTGTTGAACCTTGCTCTTTTGAATTGTTTAATCATATCAATACCTTTCAAAGATTTACAGTCTGAGACAATTTGGTGCAGAAAAAATGAAATAATTTTGTTAAAATCAAAATATAATCCCTCTGAAGCTTTTCCACCCCTTATTATATCTTTTTATTCAACATTGGTAGACAAATTTTGGTGAACCTTGCTCTTTTGAACTGTTTAATCATATCAATGCCTTTCAAAGATAAACAGTCTGAGACAATTTGGTACAAAAAAAAATGAAATAAAATATCTATAATCCCTCTAACATTTTTTCACCCCTTTTACTATTACCTCTTTTTATTCAACATTGGTAGACAATATTTTGGTGAACCTTGCTCTTTTGAATTATTTAATCATATCAATACCTTTCAAAGATTGACAGTCTGAGACAATTTGCTGTAATCGCTATGAAAAAAATAATCGCTCTGAAGTTTTTCACCCCTTATTACATGTTTTTATTAACATTGGTAGACAATATTTGGTGAACCTTGCTCTTTTGAACTGTTTAATCATATCAATACCTAAAGTATAGGATACAGAGCTTTTGAATCGAGCTCTGCTTCTCGACGTTATATCTAGCCAATGTCGGTGGCGCTTTTGCGACGAAAAAGACAATTTTGGTTGTGTAAAAGAAAACTCCTGTATCCTACACTTTATCAACATGATGGAAACTATTTTCAGAAGGAGAAATAATAAGTGCCAGTGGCAGGGTTACGTTCCCATCTCATTTCTCTCTCCTCTCACGTCAAGTCACCCCATCAATTTCGAAGCTCATGAAATTTTGAGCAGACAAGTGGGTCTGCCGGCGCGAAGGTGAAAAGTGCTGATTCTCTAATCTGTTTTGTAGAGGCAGAGAGCCCCGTTGCCCCCTGGGTAATAAAGTCATCGGCTTGTCAGTTGTTGTGGGAGGGTATTGGACAGTTCCTTTCTTTCCTGTATGTTGTTACTGCCGTCATTATTGGACGAGGCAGCTGAATTTGGAGCAAGGGAAGACTAGAGGTGTATCCTGTAAGAATATTCCGGAATAATTACAAAGGACCATTCAATATGAAAAATGACCTGAGCAAAGGACCTCCCTCCCGTATATGAAAAATAACCTTGAATGTAAAATTGATACATAAAATCATACCTAATATTTCTAAAGAAGCTTCGTAGAACATTTTAAAACCAACAAAAAACACAAATTTTTCGAGGCCCTTTTTGTAGATTTCTCGGTGGCATTTCAATACATGCACTTCCCCAGACCAGGAGACAGTCTGAATTATGCGGCCTGTT